TTTAATTACTTAAAACATTAAAAATATTGCATGAGTTTCTTTGCCTCCATGTGTTTTCATTGGCATGCTTCTAACTCCAATTGAATGCATCAACTTCTGATGAAGATCCATGCTTCGCATAACGGTTGTATGTTGTTAGAAACTTCAAAATCCTTAACTGTTTCCAAAGGTTGTGTACTCGAGATGTTGTCACACTCTAGAGATGAATTAGGCATTGAGTTAACAACTTCATTAGGAATATTATTTCGAACAGCAGAATCAACAGTCAAAGCTTGAAACTCAAATTCACCATCCCGTTTTGATTTTTTCTTCCCAACTTTAGGCTTTTTATTCTCCTCAGTTGCTCTCTTCAAACGAAGTTTAAATTTCTGCCAATCAATATTATAATTATTTAATAGCCATAAAAATGAAAAGTAGAAAAATCAATGAAATCACATTAATACAAACCTGTAGATGACTAGCAACTTGCAGAATTGTCAAACCAGGGACATTCATGAGTTTCATAACCTTTTTTGCCGTTGCTTCTAAAAAATAAATCACACAAGTGAGGTTCTTGAAGTATATACAGTGAAAGAAGAGAAAAATAATTAGGCAAAAAATCTTACCGTGAATGCCAATTTGATTCACAGCGCATAAGAATTTTTTATGCAATTCTTGTGACCATGAAAAACGACTCCTCTTTGTTGAAGGCTGATAGTTAATATTATCATCACAAGAAGAAGCAGGTGTATAATCATCTCTTTCCCTTTTTTTCAAATCTTTTACATTCAAGATTTCAAGAACTTGATCATGCTGATTGTTTTCTTTCAAAACTTTTCTTACAACATGTTGCCATATGTTCTTGATTTGACCTTCACTCAAAGGCTTAATCCAATATCCACAAGCACCTTTTTCAATCGCCTTCATCACTAGACTTGGAGTTGTTGATTGATCAACACACATCACTGCACATGTCACATATATAAATTATAACCTAACACATAAAATGACATAATAACATAATAATAACTCAATCCAAGAAGAGTTTTTGGTCTTCTTACTAATGACTGGAATTTTGATTTGCTGTGTAACATGTTGCAAGAAATGGTAGGAATCCATATCAGGCATTTGAGCTTCAATTAGGATCACATCATAAAGATTCTTTATTTTTTTCAAAAAGTTCAATGCAAAAGATGCATTACAGCATGTTGTAACTGAAACAAACAAACAAATAAAAAAGTAAGAATTTTTACAAAAAAGTTTAAGACATTTCTTGTTTGAAGTGTGAGAAATTAATTGACAAACCTAGATAATTGCATCGAATACACATCTTTATAATGGAATTCAATGTAATTGTGTCACGATCCACTACAAGAACCCTTAAACCATGTGGAAATTGGTGGGGAAGTGATTGTATTTCCGTGAAAAAAGTCATTGTAGAAAAGAAGAATGCAATAGAGTTTTTGAGAAACTAAGATAATAAAATAATGTGTTGTAGTTTCTTTATGAGAACTAATAGTATTTATATAAAAGATTTGATATGAGTTGTACAACTACTCCCTTCTTCTATGAATGTTATTGTAACGAATAAAATTTGTTTTGAATGAATATAGTAAAATAATTGTTATTTTTTCAATTGTGTTATTTAATTATTATATTTTACGGTTTACACTACTTCAAATATATTTATAAGATTAATGCTTAATATATTATTTAGTTCTTTAATTTAATTTCAGGTTTCACTTTTGTCTCTTATTTAATAAATATTTCTTTTAAGTCCCTCAAATTATATTCTGTTAGTTATATTGGTCATTTCCGTTAAATTTTGTCAAAATCTATTAATTATGGTTGAAGTGACACTCTATCATTCAAGTATGGTTGACATGGAATCGTTTCATTAATATTTTATTTAATTTATTAAGCATCAACTCTCTTTCTCTCTACTCCTCTCTTCACTAAAACCTTAGTCGTCACTACTCTTTCTCTTTTCTTCCTATCTCTTTATTCTCTCTTTTCCTTAGTAGGAACCTCCATCAACGCCCATGTCTCTTCATTCTCTTCCTTAAGTTTTAACTGGATTTCTCAAACAACTTTCAACATGTTCATAAACCTCATTTTAGGATTTGCATTTGCGAATCTGAAAGAATCGATGTTTTATCGCGATGGAACAGCGTCTGAGCCTGGTGTATTTCGGAAGCACCTTTATTGTTTCTCTTCTGCAATTAAGAGACCTGGTGAAACTATTTCAAAAGGGCATAAGAATTATGAGTTGATGTTTAATTTGCAATTGGGGATTAGGTAAATTATTGTCTTTAGGGATCTTAACTTGATCACTTATGTTATTTTTGTTATTGTTTTTTTCGTGTTTGTCTTCGCTTTCTTTAATATCAGTCATGTTTTGTATAGGTATACGGTTGGAAAGGAAACGTCTAAATTACGAGAGCTTAAACCTAGTGATTTTGAATCAAAGGAGAAGTTCTGGACAAAGTTCATGCTTTGAAGAACTTTATGGAAGTATAAAGTTTTTTTTAACTTCCTATTTGCTCATTTCATTTAGTTTAATGGCATAGATGGAATACTTAATGTGACATGTCAGTGATAATATTGAAGGGTTAGTACTAGAAAAGAGCACCACTGTACATAAGGTTTCAAAGTACACGTTTTTATATTTCTTTAACTAATTTTACTTTAATTTATCTTTTATTGGTCTAAATATTTTACACAAATTGAATTGACAGAGGTACATCTTCATAGGATTAACAGAGGTACATCTCTAATGGCTGAAGCATGCTAACCTACACAAATGAATTTTCACACGTACATCTATCGTTTGACAGAATATTATGATAAATGGATTTATGCAACAAGAATATAACCTTTAAATTTGACATGTGTTTGATGGAAATCCATAACATAAGTTTTGTTGGTGATTTTAGTATCACCGATGTATTTTAGTAGTAATGTAATTTACTAAAGGCCGATGCAATTATGCGTTAAGTTCGGAAATGAGTTAGGGAAGTGCGGAGTGTACGCTCGTCGAGCCAATGCATAATTGAATATGAATAATTGAAACGGGGTTCCAAGGGGCGAAGCCCCTGGCGGGGTACGGGGCAGCGCCCCGTTGGGGTCCCAAGGGGCGAAGCCCCTGGCGGGGTGCGGGGCAGCGCCCCGTTGGGGTCTAAGGGGCGGAGCCCCTGGCTGCCGACATAACCGTTTTTCCGAACAGGTGTGTCTTTTCGGTCCCCAACCGACATAACCGTTTTTCCGAACAGGTGTGTCTTTTCGATTTCAGTTATTGATCTCCTATATAAGGAGTTATTTGGCCTCAGTTTTAAAAAACGAACGAAAAACAATACTTTCTCTCTACATTTGTAATCAGTTTTCTTTTGCCAGAAACAGATTGTTCTTCAAGAATTATCCCCACAAAGATTTCGTGAACCCAGACAAGAATAGGGTCGAAATACTTTGTTCGGAAAGTGTACGAACACGATTCTTCGAAGTTATCCAGGATTATCATACCCAAATTTCTAACAAGTTCGGTTTTTTCCAAGGCAATGAATAAAATTGCAGATGCAGTGAATAAAATTAATCTTGTAATATTAAAGTTTGAGAATAAGGGCGGAGAGGATAAAGAGTTAATTGACTAAAAAACAAATAAAGAGGTGATTCTTGTAATGTTGTAATTTACTTTTATGATAGTTTAATGGTTTGAATTCAAATTATTTATAATTACTTTTATGATTATTTTTATGATTGTTTTATGATTGCTGAGATTTGTTTAGCAACATTGCAATTGAAATTAGTTTGATTTTTGGACTAGGCTAATATTATTTATGCATATTATCAATGTCTCTGTTTAGGAAATTATATATTTATTAAATTTTTTATAACAAATGTAAGAAGGAAATAAACCAATATATTATTATTGTCAATAAAAGATTACATTCTATCAAGTTTATTCATACGAGTAGTTATATTTTTTTATATTTTTTTAATGATTTGCAGGGATTTTTAACCTCCAAAAATAAAACACCTGCAATTTAAATAAAATATTATTAATAATATATATGCTGAATCACAAATACATACTAATCCTTGTTATCATGATACACCAACCAATTTAACATTTTCACAGTCAAATTAACGGAATTGATCAAATTAGTTAACGGAATTGATCAAATTAGTTAACAGAAATATTGTTAAATTTATTATATAAGGGACTACACTGAAAATTTTATAACAATATTATTATATTCTTTAATCTATGTGCAAAAACTTTAAAAAAAAATCTCATTTTAAAATACTTCATTAAATCAGTATTGATTTAACACATAAATATCAAATCTAGTACTCCCCTTCCCAAAATAATTAACCAATCTCTTTCATTTTTAAATTTTGATTACAACTAAGGTATAATCTGTCCAAACAATTGTCCGTGATATTATAGTAATTAATGTCAAATCTGTCGATAATTACATTTTTAAAATGAGATTAATTATAGTCTAAATTGAATTTTAGTAATTAGTATGAGAGAGTATCATATGATATTAATAAAAAAAAATTTATGAATTAATTTTTAAATTTAGTCTAAATTGTCCATCATATTATTTTTATGTAGGAGATGGAATTTACTTGAGCCAACAATAGCGCAATATCATAATTTAGCAAAATGTTAAATGATAGTGTAAGGCTTTAAGCTATGTATTTGACAAATCTAATTTAACCAAGTTTGTCTTTAGAAGTTACTTGGTTCTTTCAACACAGTCCATTTGCAGCAACATTCCTTATGATATTAGTGTTTCAGCCTCTTATGATATCAGTGTTTCAGCCTCTTCTTAACAATGCAAATGGTCGGTACATTTACATGATCTTTCCCTGTTCAAATTAGATGTCTTGATGAGGGGAAATTAGACTAATGAGCTAAAGACCCAATTTCGAAGCACTGCTGACAAGTTTAGAATTCGCCATCCTTTTGGTGATCAGATCCTTCAACTCTATCTCTCCGGGAAACCTTCCCTCCTTCAGTTTAGAGAACACCTACAATGACAGAAGAGTTTAAAGGGGTTAATGAGTTCAGAAGCATTGAAGACGCCATATACATATCTTCCATCTAATCTAACTATTATCTTAGTAATGCTAGAGCCAGAAGGGGACACATGGTGGCCAGAGGAGAGCCAGAATTTGCTTCATATAACATGTTTTGAAACAGAAAAGAGGACACATTTATTCATGATTAATCTACTATTGGCCCGTTTCTTAGGTGTTTTAAAAATAAACCTTATAGTAACAATTATAACCAAAAAAACTCTAACAAAGAAAACCTAATAATCAAAATAATGTCACAAAACCAAATGACTTGTTGAAAAACAACATACGTTGGGAAATAATTTTCCCCTAGTAAAAGCATGTTCGAATAATTGCAATCTGAAAGTAGATGTTCTAAACTACAAGTGCAGAAGTTTTCTATAATAAATCAAGGGGACTACCATTATTAATTGGCATAGAACTAGGTAACAAAACTGGTTCTCATTTTTCAACTACTATTGGCAAGATCAATGATGGTTGCTAACATGTTATATGATAGTATTTAATACTTCCAGGTGAACATGTTGATAAAACTAGTCATGCAAGGAAACCATTCAATTATGATTGATTATGTGTGCTCGCAAGAGTCATAAAGCATAAGAAAAAAATTGAATTCACTGTAGAAAATCAGAGGCTCGACTCATAAAGAAATATTTACTACAGTATATAAGAAAGTAAAAGATGGAAGTAGAGCACCAACCAGATTGCCGTTGAAGTAAACTTCAAATGCGCCAGAGCTTTGCAAGAATGACTGCAAGGCATTCCCAAGAAGCCAAGTAGTAGCAATGGTTCCAAACCTATTAGCACGCAAGTTAAAATACCAAGGAGGAGGTGCAACAAAACCCAACATTGGAAAAATCTGCTCGCCTGCAACTACAACACCTACAACCCCAATTTGAACGACTGGAACCACTTTGCTTAGCAGACGTTTCGGAAGAGGTGGAGGATAATTTGCAAGAATAACCTCAACTCCAGGAAAAGCAATCTCCAACATATTCTTTAGTGTCACCGCCGTTCCCCTACATAAAACCAAAACATCCTTTTACACCAACAACAAGCAATGGACCAACTACAAGAAATACGAAACAACAGGCAGAGCAATGATTTTGAAGTAGATTCAGAAATGAATTACTTGTCAAAATTGCAAGAGAAACTAGTGAACTAAGAAACTAGTCTCTAGTTAATTAAGGAAATCCACCATGAATTTCATGACAGTAACTTAGAAAATTTTCATAATTGACAAAACTACGATTTGTTTTTCAATTCCACCTTTCTTTTTGTCTCTTATTTAGATTACATTTTAAGTATTTCTATAGAACACTCTTCAGTCCTAATCAATGTGATACAGATTTGAAAAATGAATTAAAACTCAGTTCTTGCTGAAAATTTCTGAATCATAAACTGAAAAGAGATCAAACCTGAAAAAAAGTTTTATAAAGAGGGACATCTTGTAAAAATGAATTAACCTCAATATAAAAACCTAATAAGTAATGAGTTTAATGGTAATGCACCGTCGGTGCAAACCAATATTACACATATAACCTATCAAAATTCATATACTTACCATGTCATATCAGTATTTTAAAAATAAAATTATATTTTAATTGAATACATGGTTGTGATTGATTGACAGGGTAAAAATAATTTATAAATAAGCAAGGTTTTAACAATCCAGGACAACGAAGACACTGAAAAACAGCCACGTCAAAATGGTATCGGGAGGTTAAAAACCGCAATCACCACACCTGTAACGACCAAAATCAGGAAAGTAATAACTAATTCTACTAAACTTATACAAATCTAGGGTTAACAAGAATAGTGAAGATGATGATGAATTATAGAAAGTACTTGTAGGAGCAAGAAGAGCAGAAATTGATGTTGACAGTGTTGCCGTAACCTACATCTCCAATATTTGAGGTGAATTTCTGAAATAAAGACGAAGCGAATGATTATTATAGATATGATGATAAATAACGGTGAAAAATTGATGAAGTGAATTGGTTGATGGAATTGAAAATTACCTCGGAGTGGGAGGGAAACGGAACTACAGGGTCAACAACTGAATGTGGCTGTTGGTGGTGGTGGTGGTGGTGGTGGTTGTGAGATGGTTTGGGCGGTGGAGGAGATGATGTGAAAAGGGAAAGGAGGTCGGAGCAGAGAAGGAAGAGAGGTAAACCAACCAAGAGAAGCTGGGCGCGATCCATGGCGAAGCTGAGCGAGGGTTGTGACTCACTCAGGTCAGGTGATGCTGCTTCGTCACTGGTTTCGATCTAAATTGGAGTTAATCACTTTTTGTCTTGGAACTAATTAAAAACTTAAATATGTTTTATTTTTATTTTAAAATAAATATTTCAAAAAAAATATGTTTTTTGTCCGACATAAAGAATTTAGGGTTTTTAGAGTAGGGTCTTCAATTTTATCTCAAAATAAAAGATTTTGGTCTCTGATATTTTTTAGATGAATTGACATGATAAATATTTAATTCATAATCGATTTTTTAGAAAATTGAGTTTTTTTACGTTAGATCGCGTAAAGACCAGAAACGCAGGAATTTATTAGGTTTAGTAGTGTTGAGAATTTCTTTGTACATCTGGTACTGTTGAGTTCATGTGTTTCTGGCCTTTACGCGACTCAATGTAAAAAATTCAATTTTCTTCAAAATCGATTTTGAATTAAAATTTTATCATGTCAATTCATCCGGAAAAAACTAGGGATCAAAATCCTAAATTCATCGTTTTTCTATTTTATTTGATTTATTTTTCGTTTTCATATTTCCGAAAAAGTCTTGAAATAATTTGTAAACACTTAATTTAATTTAATTTAATTTGATTTTTAATTGTATTTTTAAATTTTTATAATAGAGTAAAATTCAGAAATACATATCTGAAGCCACTTTTTTTTGTGAAAAATATAATATATTTGGAGATGTATATCCGAAAATATATTTTTTCTAAATTTTGTGGAATAGATTCATTCGAATATATATTTTTCGAATTCTAGAAAGTATTTTAAGTTTTTTGCGAGATGTGAAAGAAAGATATTAGGTGGAGAAAGAAATTTTCAATATTTTTTTACTTAGTAATATAAGGATTAAGATTTATCTTTTAAATGTTGAGATAAAAATAAATTAGACCAATTTACAAAAGGTTATAGTCAAGCTTATATAAAGCAAGGTCGGCCAATCATATTTAATAAAAAAAATAGGTTTAAATTTTTTTAAATATTTATTTAATTAAATACATTAAATTTAAATTATTAAAAAAATCTATGAATTTTTATAGAATAGCCTATATATTCTATATATTAAAAAGAAGTTAAATAGATGCATTCATATTAAAAAATACGCTAAACAGGTTGTCTATATATGCATATATATATATAGATCCGTCTATAAGATTTTTTAGGTAAAATACACTATTTAAAAATCTTAATGTGAAACAGTCTTCTAAATAGATTTTCAGATCAGATCAGATTCTTAAAAAGGTCAGGTCAGGTCAAAAAGGTCATTTTTTTCCATCCTTATATGTTCTCCCTAACTCCTGGTGAAAAATTAAAAACACCTCTAATTTTTAGATATGCGTCTCCGGACTCATCATGTTCACAGAAAATAAGCGCAAATTATGGAGATCCCCTCACATTGCTAAAATTTAATTCACAGATATATCTCCGAATTGTTTGTAGGGTTTGTTCACACATGCATCTTTGAATTAACCCTTGCTTTCAAATTAAAGAACATTTTCTGAAATGCATCTCTGAACGTGTTCAACGTATATATAATAATGCGTGTCAGACCCTTCCTCTTCTCCTTTTTCATTTTCTGAAACTTTTTCATTCCCTCATTGGAACTCGTGGGCAACACTTGCAAGTCATTTTTTCAAGCAACAAAAGTTCCTTTATTTCAACCTTTCCAATCTCAACTCACTACACATACTACATTTAACGTTGTTCATCTTCATCAACATTTTTTGAGTAAATTTGTCATTTATTTATTTTTTACTTTTGATTAATGTATTAGGTAAAATAGTTTTTTTGATGCATTAGGTAGTATTAAAATTCGAAATAGGGAATGTTACAGACATGCACTATGATATGGTTGCATTATAGATTGTTATGGAAAATGTAGGAATTGTCTGTGCCATTGAAACAAAACACAAACTTTTTCAAAGATGAATCTCCGAATTTGGTGTTTTCTGATTTTCAGAGATGCATCTCTGAATTGGGTCCTTTTTACTACAACATAATGACATCGACTGGACATCATACGCCATTCACCAGGACACTTTCCCTTCTACCTCATTTCATGTTACTCTTGATGGCTAGCATGTGGCTAGCAGGAATCTGTCGGAGTGATGCATGCGTCAAATTGAATTTGTGCATATCATTACGAGATCCCCCTTTGAGGTTCCTCCTAACAGCATCGTCTACAAACATCATAATGACATACTGGCAGATTACGAGAGTAATCTGGTACTGAGTATCAAAGTATGTCATCCACGAGTCAGTGGCATTATGCTGACGGTTATATGACTTGATTTTATTCTGTGTCACACCCTATCATGACACGAGACGCTCTTGGACGTCCACCTAGGTCTACTCATGAGAAGATCCTGAAGAATGAGTAGGTCAAGGATGACCATGTCATTGATGTGTTGTCGATATGTCAAAATATTATGTTGGTTACCGAAGAGGGGCATGGAGTTTGGGATGTTTGAGAGAGGTGACGATGATGCAGTTAGCACGTTTCATTATTACCGAGGCACAAAATGTTTTGAGTTATCAGTGGAAGAGGAGGAGTCAGTGGTTAGAATTAGGCATCGCAATAGGTTATGCTTTTTTCCATTTATTTTTATAGCATTTTCCATACTTTGAAACTATGTAATATTTTTAGATGTTTTTTTGTAATTAACGCATTACTTTATTTTGAGATGTTAATGTTTCAATCAAATCATGAATTATGACACTGTTAGTCGGATTAAAATGACTTTGGATTAAAAAATATATATAAACTTAAACAATGTTTTTGCCCATAATGCATGTCGGAAAGTTTTCGGAAATACATATCCGAAATAAGAGTTTTCGAAGATGCATCTCCGAATTCACCTCATAAATATTCAAAGATGCATCTCCGAACTAAATTTTGAAAAAAGTAATTTATGGTGCGTTCGAATATGCATCTTCCAAAATTATTGAGGTCAATTTTGAGTTCAGGTGTGTGAGTCACACCATAAGGATGGGAAAAAAATTGTTCAAAAAAAGAGTTTATAATAGGCTGTGAATCAGAGTCAGGCCTTTTAATTTATCGTAGGTCAGACTCAAACCTTCTAAGGTCTGGCCGGACCTATTTTCACCTCTATTTTCAGATAAATAAATGAAACATTTTTGTAGTCAAGTGTATATTTCTACACAACTATCAATTAAATTGATGTAACAAAATTTACTATTCAATATAATAGTAAAAACATATATAATTTGGTTCAATTTAAATGACAACTTTAAAAAATGATATAATTTAATGCTTTTAATATTTAATATTGTTATAAAAACACAATAAAATAATTATTTGATATAAAATGTAATATATAATGTATTAAAATTTAATATATTGGAATAAAATTCATATTTGAAGCATATAAAATAATAATAAATACTAATAAATTATATTTAAAAAATTAAAGTATTAACTAATAATTAAACTAATTTAATACATCATATCAATTTAAAGAATAAAAAGTTTTATGTAATTCAATCTTTGTTTTTTTAATATCCATAAGCATATCATACTTGTTCCCTAAATATAATTCGTTACCATTCGAGATTTGTTTAGAGAGAGAACAACCAATGTAAAATCTGGTTAAATTTGTAAGTTGAATGATTATTGATGAAACGGACTACATCCTTTAATATCTAGGAGCTGTTATATACAGATTATACATGTTAAGTATGTTATAAATGAGGGACTTCACGTGTGTGAAAGAGAAGGTGAATGAATATATTTGTATTGATACAACTGCATAAAATAGAAATCTCAGGTCAAACCTTGAGGTGTAAGAAATCAACACACAAATTACATTATTCAGGATCATAAATCAAACTGCTATGATTATCAGAAAACCACACCAAACTATTATTCATAGTATACAACTAATCATGCTCTCATCTGATTACAATCTCCTTGTGTACTTCATATTTTTCTTCACATGTTATTATCAAACTAAATTTGAAACTTCTTGCAAACACTTCTCCAATTGCCAAACTCATGTTCTGTTCAAGCATCATAGATCCAAAACTCAAAACATCTTGAAGAGGGAAGACCTTGAAGTTTTCTGACTTCCAAGCCAGTGTTGCATATGGACTCCAATAGCATCCAAGTACACGCTATTCCTCCCATGGAAACCCACCACCTTGCCCTCTGTAGTGGTTGAGGTGAAGAATTTCCCTACTTCTTCGCCATATGGACCATACTGACCGCGACTGGTGTGGAATGTCAGTGACTTTATGATTGTATGATCCACATCCCTTCCGATTGATCCATAATAGCCAGATATACAAGTCAATACCTCGTGTGGATACTCCAGTTGTATCTAACATCACAATAATCATAACCAATAAGCAATTAGTAATGAACCAGCTGGAGTGAAGCAGTGGAAGTGTTTAAAGGAAGTGGAAACTGAAAATCATACCCTATGCATGGTGTCTCCTCCATTACCACCATGTTTTGTAGACCACACAGATTGCCTGTTTCGATCATACTCAATTTGAATCGAGCAGATTCCTTCTGATACTTTTGTCAAATAAATTTGCTTAATCGCAGAAAAGACTCCGTCATCCCAAGGTCTACCTCCATCTCCACCCCAAGGGCCTGCTCCACATGAAGCTGGTTCTTTGATCAAACCACAAGAAACCTAGGAAAGAGAGGACCAGTGTGAATATGAAATCTTATACATAAAGATAACCGAATTCTTGAATGTCTTCAATATATTTGAAGAGTTTATTATAAAAAAGCAATACCTCTTCAGCTGCTGCGGGCTTAGTAAGTAACAGTTTGTTAGGCCAATGAGCACCGCCCTCACCAATATTTGTTTCTCTAGGGGTGATTTCCTTTGGATGAGCTGCTGCCGGTACTACTACTTTCCCTTCTACCACATGTACACCAAAAGCATCAAGGAACAGACCTTTTCTCCCATGAATACCGACGATTTTACCTTCTTTGGCCTTTGTGGTGAAATAAGTTCCTTGTTCTTCCCCAAATGGTCCATACTTCTTTTTTGTGGTGTGAAAAGTAAGAGATCTTACAACAGCCGGCCCCATGTACATCAAAGGTCCATAGTAGCCAGATATATGAGTCAGGACTTCATATGGGAAATCAAATACTATCTGCAAATTAATGCATAAAAAGGCTAAAAATTCAATGTAACTTTCTAGATTATTAAGTAGAATAAAAATTTGGTTGTGTGCTCTTTGTCTACCTTATCACTTTTATATCCTCCTGTCCCGCCTTGTTTGAATCCCCATATGGCATCCCCATCATGATCATACAAAACTCTAATCCATACAATTCCAACATTGCGCGACAAATTGATTTGCCGGATTCCTTTATAGGTTCCATCGTCAAATATAGATCCACCAATGCCACCCCAAGGACCATATGTACATACACCATCAACCTTTGCTGCTGACTTTTCTGGATGTGTTATCTGCAACATAAATATATTTTAAGATCCATTTTATGTTAAAGCCAAATTTTAATATTTTTAATAAGAGAACCTCCATTAAAACTGCAGGCTATCTCACCTTTTCTTTGTGTTCAATGTTGTTGGTTTCTTTGACGGTAGAAATCTTCCCTGATACCTTGTTTGGTATAGGCTTACTGAAATCATCTTTCAAATCTTTCTGTCTTACAGCAACAACAATATCGTAGTTCTGGTTCACAGTTCCTTGTATCAAAGAATAACCAAAACTCTCATTAGTGTTAGTCATGTGGCCCGAATGAGCCAAACTTTTGGATGGATTTGGTTGCTTCAAGGACTTCATATAGACTCCAATGGCATCTAGGTACCAACCACACTTGCCATGGAACCCAACAATTTTGGCCCCAGTTGTTGGTACTGAAAAATATGTCCCTTGCTCGACACCAAATGGTCCATAAGTTTTCTTGTTACTCTCAAAACTCAGTGACCGAACTAAGTTGTTCCCCCATTGAGTTAAGCTACCATAGTATCCATGAATTGAAGTTAAGAACTCATTTGGATAATCAAGTTTCACCTAGAACACAGTCAAAAGTGGTTAGCTAATATATGCACAAATTTAACTGAAATCGACGTCACAAAATTTTTGGTGCTAACATTGAAAGTTTATATCACAAGATCAGCTTAGTACATGATGAAACCTTTACCTTGTCAGTTTTATTTCCTCCACTTCCACCATGTTTCTCTGACCAAATAGAACTTCCTTTCTTATCATATTCAATCTGGACTGAGTCAACTCCTGCCCCATGAACTATCACCAATTGCCTTACTCCTGAGTATATCCCATCATCCCAACGGGACCCTCCATTGCCTCCCCATGGCCCAACAGAGGCAGGTTTCTTTACGGAATCCTCAGAATTCTGCATGCAAAACATCATTCAAAAGTGTTAAAAGTAGGCGAAAAGACATAAAGTTGTTGAACATAAACTGTAAGGTGGATGCATGCAATGAGTTCTACGCAAGTTAACATTGAGATATTGTAAGATTGAACTACCATTCTCTAGCTTGTAGGAAGAGATTGATAGACCTTAGACAGAAAACTGCAGGTGTGAGTGTTAATGTCGATGTAGCTAGGAGAAGGCGTAACTAAGAGGAATTTATGGAAGCAGAGAATTGGCTTATGGCAAGGAGATTTGTATAAAAAAATATTATAGTTGAAGAAATGTTGGAAGAAGCTAATTCTAATTCCACAATGGAGGGAAAGAAATGAAAGTCAGGGAATCAGATTCCAAGCAGAAATCAGTCTTTTGCTTTTATTAAGAAAGCTTCATGCAATTTTTAGTGTCATGGAGCAAAGAAGTGGAGAAAAGAAACAAAATATTATCTTCTGCTATATTCCATTTTTGGAATTTAGTCAGGAGCACTCACTGGGTTGCTTCTGCAGGCACTCACTACATTGTGCAGCTTTTATAAAGTATTATTTATAAACTAATTAAGGGAATAATCTACTACTCTTTCTGGGTGCTTATTCACGAGACAGATTTTTATAGCTCCACTAGATTTCCCATCATTAATCTATATACAGCATCTTTGAAATGAATACAATGATTGATTTCATTAATTTTTTCAATATATTTTCGTTGGAAATTTCTTACAGGACATACATTCAAATCTTTCATCTGGAATCACAAAATGCTTGAATAATAACCAAATGAAGTTCTATACTTTAATCTGATACATAATGTGAAAAGGGGAAGCCAATAATTTCAGTTGCATGAAAGGTTAATCTTATAAACACCAATTCATCAGAAAGTTGTGTATGTCATGAACAACTATACCTTCAGACAGATTTAGATATTTCTGATATCATTGATTCTCATTTCTCACGCATAATTTTGCTTTACCAATAGTCCTTACAAGAACAATGACCACCTTTAAAATGGTGTAAGCACTTTGAATCATTTAAATATATTTCACACTTATATGCCAATGATATGTATTTGGCCGTGTCGTGACAATCTCTACACATTTTCAAATTTTTAACTATCCGTAAAATTTGAGGAGTGTTGTGAAAATCTATCAGAGCAAAAGCAAATGCAAGTTTTTCACTATGCATGCCACTGGTATTTTCTTTCTCCTCTTCCTCAATGCAAAATTCACTGTCAAAAACATGTGTCTGTCTCTTGACATTTACAGCTACCCGTTTTAGCCAAGAATATAGCTTATCCGAATACGGGTTTGATTGATCACCAACTACAAAAGTATGGACGGTGTTATTCCTTTCAATCCAGCATTGACCAACAGGTTTATTAACAGCCTTTTCTTCCTCCAGATCAAACTTCCCACATAAGGAATATGCTTGTGAAAGTAAATATCGGGTTGTATTATTTCCAGGTCCCAACTCAAGCAGACATTTTCCTGCAAGGACTGCCATTCCGAAATTTTTATGAATTCTGCAGGCGGTCAGCAAGGCATCCCACACAGAGGAATTAGGTTTAACGGGCATGTTTTGAATAAACTTCAGTGCTTCAGCAAGCTTACCGGAACGACCGAGCAAATATACCATAGCAGAATAATGTTCCAAACCTGGTCTAATCAAGTATTCTTTAGTGATGCAAGAGAAAACACTCTTCCCCTCATCCACCATTCCGGCATGACCGTAAGCTAAGAGAATACTTGCAAAAGTACCTCTATTTGGTTGAAGTCCTTGCCTCCTCATTTGATAAAAAAGATCAAGTGCAGACTTTGAACAACCATGTAAAACATAACCGGAAAGCATAGAGTTCCAACTGACGACATCTTTCCATGACAGCCCATAAAAAATGTTTCTCGAGTACATTAAATTTCCTGACTTGGCATAACTATCAATTAATAAATTTGATACAGCAAGTTCAGACACTAAATTTCTACGCACTGCAAAACAATGGGTTTCTTTCACTTTCTTGCTGGCCACTAAATTTTCACAAGCAGGAAGGATACTTAGTATTGTGACCGAGTTGGGAGCTATCTGACAAAACTGTATGTTCCGGAATATCTGTAATGCCTTGTCCTTTTGTCCACTTTGTATGAAACCGGATATTAATGAATTCCATGAAGCTGCATCTCTCTTAACTTTCCCATCTTTCTCAATGCTTTTAAAAAGACCCAATGCCTGATCCTCAGCACCACTCTGCATATATCCTGTGATCATTGTATTCCATGTAACAATGTTGGGTGGTGATTTAGACTCCTGCATTTTCGTAAATAACTCATGAGCTTTGCCACAGAAACCAGCTTGGAAATATGCACCAATAATTGAGTTCCAAGAATACACATCTCTCTCTAACATCAAATCAAAAATGTGTCGAGCATCTTCAAGATTTCCACACTTGGAATACATATCAATCAGTGAATTACCAATTAGTACATTGCTAACCAAATTCATCTTAACAGCAATAGAATGTATTTCTAATCCCATACTCAACGATTTTAAGGATGCACATGCTGATGCTGCACTTGCAATCGTAATGCTATTGGGCTCAACACCTGCTAAAAACATTTCTCTCAACAAATCTAAAGCATGACTTATCCTACCCTTTTGAGCAAAGCCAGAAATCATTGAAGTCCAAGTATATACATCTGGAGTAACACCAAAACATTCCATCTTTCTCATTAAACAAATTGCAAGATCACAATACCCTAACTGATTATAACATGCAATCAAAATGTTCCAAGTTACCAATCCAGGATCAATTCCTTCTTTTTGCATTGCGTCAAAATACTTCCTCGCTTGTTCAATCTCACCGTTCTGACAAAACCCAGATATCATCGCATTCCACGCAATACTATCCCTTTCATCCATACACTCAAAAATCCTCTTTGCATGATCCATCTCCCCGCACTTGGCATACACAGCCATAATCGAATTTCCCACACGATCAGTATAGCGCATTCCAAGCCGAATGACCAAGGAATGAATAGACCTCCCAGTCTCTAAATCCCTACACTTTCCACACGCCTGCAAAACCTTCGGAAGCAAAAACTCATCCGGCAAAACCCCATACTCCATCATCTCATGGAAGAGCTCCACAGTCTCCACCCATCTCTTGTTTCTTGAACAAGCACCAATCATAGCAGACCAAGTAAACAAATTCCTCATATGCATTTCATCGAACACTTCGCGGGCCTTATCTAAACGTCCGCATTTAGCATACATACTCACCAATTTAGTCTCCACAAAAGGGTTCACTCTTTCCACCAACCCAATTCTAGCATGCAATTCATTACCCACCAAAATATTGTCTTTATCAATGCATGACTGTAACAGGTTCATATAGGTAATGGGTCTAACCTTAGACCCTTGTTCAGCTATGGAATCAAGAAGAGTCACAGCTTCACTCAGGGAGCCATTAATGCATAGTTGGTTCAATTGGGCATCCATTGATTTTGGGTTTGAAGCTTTGGTCATTGAGACATTGTTGGAATTTGCATGGACCATTGCTGGGACATTACAGTCAAATTGGGTGGCATTGTAAGAGGGGAATGATAAAGAAGGGATTAATTTACTGAAGATGTGAATCTTTTCCATTGTTTGTGGGTTTTGGAGAGAAGTTTAGAGATGAGGTTTGTGTTGTTGATTAAAGGGTGGTGATAGAATGAAGATCAGAACTTTTGACACGTTGTGATAGGAAGCTGTTACAGCAACTATTTAATCTTATATCTAGGGTTCATATAAAGGATATAAACAAAACTAATGGTAAGAAAAGAAATAATTTGTGTTCAAACATATGTCCCTCTTCATTCCACAACAATAGTTTAAATACAATTCGAAAATAAAATTTTAATAGGCCTAAGATTTGGGCCGCCAAAAAGAGAGGAAAATAAAGAAAAATATTAAATCAAATATTAATTTAGAATGAAATCTTTAAAATATTTAGGCTTGGATGTAATTCTCGTGGGTCTTCTATCATTATTCACCGGCCCAAAAATGTCCTTGTTCTCAAGGATGGGGTTGAAATTTTCTGAATTCAATTTGGAGGCCCAAGTCAAAGGCCCATTCGAAGATGCCTTATGTTGAGAAGTGGGCATAGTGGAGTGGGACACAACTGGATTACTTTAAGGGGCTCGTGAAAAATTTGGATGTTGGAAAGTGAAGTGAGGTATTGTATGGGGAACAGGTGGTAGTAAAAGTGGTGTTAAGTGTCTAGGATTGTGAGAAGGCGTGTAATGGGGAGAAACAACAGCATGTGAGAGATTTGCATCCAAGGGTGGGAAATTGGGTTTTGTGGTAGGTGGGACAACAAATGGTGCAGATTCACTCCTAGAAGATACGTTGGGATGGTGCGGTTGAGTGTTGGAGATTAAAGTACTCCTTGTAGGTACTTTTATCTCATTATTTGTCTCTAACATCTTTTCCAAAGACTCCGAAAAACTCTTTCTCTCAGATGCATGTGATTCTTCTGGAGCGGTACCATTCCTTGCTCCCAAATCACAAAGGGATCCTGCCCTTTTGTTGGATCTCTTCGTTCTGCATCGTCTATTGTTTTAGGCAAGGGTGGTTTTGTCGCAGATACCTTGAGAGTGTTGTATCCATCACCAGCGGCGCTCTGTGTGTCAGCAGCAATTTTCGTTTCCTCATCTGGTGGTTGAAACTCAAGCGGAATGGAAAATAGAGGGTTAGAGGGGTGTCGATCATAAAAAGGGCGTAGCTGAGATACATGGACGACGGGATGAATTCGTGACGACGGTGGGAGAGCAAGCTCGTATGCGACGGATCCGATTCTCCTTGTAATTTGAAAGGGCTCAAAGTATCTCTTCGACAGCTCCTGAGATGACCGCCGATTCACGAAGGTTTGTCTGTATGGTTGTAGTTTCAACAAAACGCGATCTCCAGCTTCAAAGGTACAATCTCTTTTGTGTTTGTTACCTTGTATCTTTATTAGTTGTTTGCTTTTTGTAAGGTTAAATTGTAGGGTTTGTAATAGTTCTTGTCTTTGTTGCAGAGAAATGTCCAGCGACTCGATGGAGGCAAATTCGACCGTGTAAGAAGGAAAAGAGGGAGGGTCTTGTCGTATAAGGCTTCAAATGGGAACATCTTGATGGATGAATGGTGGCTTGTATTGAACCAGAATTCCGCCAAGTGTAAGTAATTAAACCACTTTTTAGGATTATCACTAGTAAAGCACCACAAATATGTTTCTAAGCATCTGTTAACTACCTCTATCTGATCATCTATTTCAGGGTGATAGGTGGAGCTATATTTCATAGTGGTACCCTGTGCACCAAAAAGTTCCTTCCAGAAAGTGCTAAGGAAAATAGGGTCTCTGTCAAACACAATAGATTGAGGGATGTCGTGCAACCGACAAATTTCTATGGAGAAGTGGAGGGCAAGGTCCTTGGCAGAGATTTTTGAAGGAAGGGCAATGAAGTGGGAAAACTTCGTTAACCTATCGCATACAGCCCATATTACTGTGTGGCCGTGAGAGTTTGGTAGGTGAGTAATGAAGTCCATACTTAAGTCGTTCCAAACTTGAGTAGGTGTAGGTAGAGATTATAATAGTCCTGGTTTCATTCGTGTCATGTACTTATTTTGTTGATAAACTGTGCAAAGATCTGATAAAAACCTTCGTGCCTTTGTACATTCCAGACCACAGGAAAGAAGACGATATACGAGCAAGAGTGGGTTGAAGTCCGGAGTGACCCCCTGTAGGTGTGTAATGATACTTTGTGATGATATTACTTTGTAGATCTGGAATATCAGGTAGATATATTCTTTCTTTATAATAGACCAAACCCTCATTGAGCTGAAAATTGTGTTGTATAGAGGTATCGTTCATAACCTTGTTGATAAGTAACTTACCATTTTCATTTGACAGATAATATGTTTTCAGTTGTTGCACAATGACTGGAATAGGGGAAGAGATTGAGAAGAGACAAGCATCTTCTTCAAGTTGGATTCTGCTAAGGGCATCTGCGACTTAATTAGCTCATCCAGGTTTGTAATGAATATCAAACTGAAATCCCTGTAATTTAGCAGCCCATTTTTGTTATTTTGGAGTTTGTATGGTTTGCACCAACAAGTTCTTTAGGCTTTTCTTATATATATATATATATATATATATATATATATATATATATATATATATATATGAAAATGCCTTCCAATTAAGTATTGTCTCTATTTCTTGACAGACTCTGTGATGGCGAACATTTCTCGAACATAGACAGAAGAAGCTTGAAGGCGTTTGCACATCTTTTTGTTGAAGAAGGCGATGGGGGTGCCCCTGCTGAGATAATACAACTCCAATAGCAACTGCAGACGCATTAGTTTCCAGCACAAAAGGGAGAGAGAAATCTGGAAGGCACAAGACTGGTGTTTCAGTCATTTTAGTTTGTAATGTTGTAAATGCTTTTTCTGCCTCTGTACTCCAATGTAACTTAGTCGAACTCAATAAGCCGGTGAGAGGAGCGGCGAGTGTGGCATAGTAACACACAAATCTTCTATAAAGCCGGTGAGACCTAAAAAACCCCTGAGTGCCGTGAGTGAACGTGGCCTCGGCTAGTCTAGAATAGCTTTAATTTTTGTCGGATCTGGGGTTACACCATCACTTGAGATAATGTGACCTAAATAATCAACACTAGGAACAACAAAAACACACTTGGACAATTTTGCATAAAACTGATTAGTCAACAATAAATCTAAAATCAATTTGAAATGTTTGGCATGATCAGAAATTGAAGAACTATAAATGAGAATGTCGTCAAAGAAAACTAACACAAACCGTCTTAAATAAGGTCGCAGCAAGTCATTCATGGCTGATTGAAAATAACTATGAGCATTAGTTAGGCCGAAAGGCATAACCAAAAACTTGTAGTGCTCGTCAAATGTCCTAAACACAATTTTATGAGTATCCTTCAAAGTTACATGGATCTGGTGGTAACCAGAACACAAGTCAATCTTAGAAAATATAGTTGCTGAACCCAACTCATCAAAAAGTTCATCAATAGTCGGGATTGGGAAACGATCACGGAATGTAACTGCGTTGAGTGCTCTATAATCGATGCAAAAATGCCAAGAACCATCTTTTTTTTGAACAAACAAGACTGGAGAAGAGTATGGACTGTTGCTGGGCTTTATGATACCCTCATGTAGCACATTTGTGATAATGGTTGTCATGGCGTCTTTTGTGAATGGGGGTAGCGATACGGTTTCACGTTAATAGGGGTAGTATTTGGAATAATAGGAATTTGATGGTCATGGGGTCTAGATAGGGGGAACCCATGGGGTTTGTCAAAGATGGTTGCATAGGATCTGATGATAGAAGATATTTGGTGGGGAAGTGTTTTGGGAAGGGTGTCAAAGGGATTGCTAGTGATTTCAGAATTGTTGGTTGGATCATTAGAGGGATGATAGAGTAAAAGGTGGATAGAGGCAATGGGATCAGTTTATAAAAGGTGCCAAAAAGTATTGTAAGAGAATGGGGTGATGAGGGTTTTGGTGTCACCAGTTATAGTGATTTCATTGTTGTTATAAGTGAAAGAGATCTTAGGAATTGAGAAATCTGCCATCAGAGGTCCTAGGGTTCGTAACCACTCCATGCCGAGAACCACATCTGCACTTTTGATTGGAAGTAAGTGAAAAGGGATCAAAAAAGAATTATTTTGTAGCTTATTAGGAACTTTTTGGCAGATTCCCGTACAGGATAACCTTGATCCATTACCAACCATGACAAAAAAGTTTGGGATTGGATTGGTAGGTAGTTTCAGATGGTGTGCTATACACGGTTGTAAAATATTATGGGTATTTCTCGTATCAATTAAAACAGTGACAAATATGCCATTCATGGACCCTTTAAATTTCAATGTCTTAAGAGATAAATGTCCATTGGCAGCTTGAGGAGATAGCTGGAAATATGTATCATTTTGCTCCAAGTTCAAACTAAGCTCGTCACAATTTTCTGCTGGATCTGAAGTGATAATATCTTCGTCATCTTTCACTAATAAGAGAAATTTGTCAGTAGCACATTTATGGCCAGGGATAAATTTCTGATCACGATTAAAACACAACCCTTGGGCACGACGCTCTTGTAATTGAAATTGGATATGCGTCGAATAGGTAGTTTGGTTGGTTGGGCAGGGGTGACTAATTTGGAAACAGATTGAGGTTAGTTGTTTTTTGGTTTGGTATGTTGGAACTGGTGGGGTTAGGTGAAAAAGGTCTGTGAAATTTAGGCTTGGCATCCCTTATCTTGGATTCAATCAGCTTTGCAAGCCTGATGGCTTGAGATATGGAGATAGGCTTGTGGATAGCAATTTTGTTTTGAATTTCTGGTGTCAAACCCGAAATAAAACAATTGAGAATATCATCGTGAGATAGACCAAAAACCTGATTTCCCAATTTTTCGAATTGAGCTTGGTATTCCACAACATAATGGGTTTGTTTGAGTTTGAACAACGCAGCTTGGTGATTAGTGTATGTAGAGGGACCAAAACGTATTTATAAGGCTTTAGTGAAAGATATCCAATCCACTAGTTGATGGTTTTGATACATCCACTTAAACCAACAAAAAATGTCACCTTTCATATAGA